ACACACACACACACACACACACACACACACACACACACACACACACACACACACACACATCCATTTAGGGAGTTTGTGTGTTTGTGTGAGGGGGAATCTTTGAAGCCCCCCTCCACCTCCCTCTCCTTCCCTCTTGGATGAATGTTGTGCGACGTAGCGCTGGGTGGATATGAAAGGAGGGTGGAGGAGGTGGAGAAGGGAGGGGAAGGGTGGATGGGGGGGAGTGTGTCTCGGGGATGGGAGAAGAAGGGAGACCTCTCTGGGCTGGGGTGATAAGGGAGCCCTTCATGGGGGAAACGATAACTGGGTGCGATAGCGGGGCCCAGCCGAAGTCTCCGCTGCAGCCGTTTGCCAGCCGCGGCCCCAGCCAGCCTCCCAACTATTGAACAGTGCGCTCAGCCATGCACGGATACACACACGTGCACACACCCATACACCCCCCCACCCCCACCCCCCCAGTACATATCTGGCCTTCATTGATATGCTGTATAAGGAAAAGACGGGGGTGAGTTAAAGGGAGGAAAGAGGGAAAAGCAAAGAAAAACACACGAGAACTGACACAGTTCACAAATCCACAACAGATACACACAAACGCGTACACACCAGCCAGTGTGGTGTGGTGTTTGGAGCCGGATTCGGAAGGTTTTTATTTAAGGTTTGGCCGGGGGTAAAGCCTTGTTAAGACATGAGACACTGTGCTGAGCCAAAAGAGGGGCCTTGGCTCCGTTAAGTCCCTAACTGAAACCGGAGAATCGTTTACCATATATGATATGAAATCTTCCCTTTTTTTACCCATGAATTCATTATTTTTATTTTTATTTTTCCAAACATACATCTTGTATAATTTTGATATTTGTAAATGTTTTGAAAGTGTAGGTAAAGAAGTAATTTAATGCTTTTCTCAGTGTATCAGTGCAGAACATGGTGGATTTACCCACAAAAATCCTTAAAAAGCAGCACAGAGGAGGAGAGAAGAAAGAGGTTTTTAGAAATAGAGACTGGGGAGGTGGGATTTGTGCTCACCTTCCCATTTGGGTSCTGATATTGAGGCTATCTCATTGCTGTTTGCTTTCGTCTTTTTCGCCTCTGTGCCCTCTCGCACCCCCCTCGTAGGAGCTCATGCTATTGTGTCAATCTGAAGGGCTGTTTTTCCTTCAACTGTTAAAGCAGACACTAGCCAGCAAGAAGCCAGGTTATTTACTTTCAAACACCTTCGGCCGTATAAAATACACACCTGCAGTCCCCTTCTGAAAATATGATTCACTAGAAAAGGAGTGGGTGGACTACAGAAAGGTGAGGAGAAAATGAAAAAAGGGTATCACATCTAGAAGCTCACCTTTCACCTTTCTGTATAACAGAGTAGTACAGTGATACATGTGCTTACAGAATAAAAACATGTCACCTGGCAGCTTCTACATTATGTTTTCTGTGTGAGGTGTGAGAAAATGGTTGCAAATTCAGGCAYATGTTGCAAAAAATCTACAATTTGATTAGTTTAAGTGTTTTTACTTCCTCAGCTGATCCCAAATACAGAACCAACAGGTTGTACATCGTTCTGGGATCGAAGCAAGTTTAACCATTGATGCATAGATGCTAAAACAAAATGTTTTACTTATGGTTGTTTAGATCATTAATAATCTTCTACTTATAAAAATATATATAAAAAACATTTTAGGTGTCTGTTGAATATTGCGTGAGTTTATATTTAGAASAGCTCAAATGTGTTTTGTTTGTTTTGGCTTTTTTTAAGTGACGATGAACTTTTTTGGCAGATTATGTAGCCACATAGGCTTGTTTTCATCAAAACACATCAATGTTATATCTTAAATATAAGAGATTATGCAAAAAGAATTAATAATAATGTTGGAGAAAATACAAGTGACATGTTTGATCTGATGTAGCAGCCTTTSATACTTGACCAAAGGCTCTCACTACACCACCCTTAACTAAATATAGCCTTGATCAATATTAGAAAACAAAACTAATGTCTGCTGCTACTTGTTGTGCATACATAATAGGGTTTAGTGTCCATATAGGATTAAAACAYTTTGTCTCCTCCTAGTCCCTACTTATTCCCCTGCGTGACCCAATACCTGCTTGTGAAATCTGTTCCTTTTGTGGGTCAGCTGCCAGCACTGATCGTGTGTCTCTGCTCACAGTAACCCAAAACTAAATCACACATATCCTTTTCTGTGTTCTGAATAATACAATTCCCAACTGCTTAAAGACAAAGTAGTCCTTGACACTGCTCTTTTGTCTCCTGCCTGTAAGTGCTGCCGCTACAAGGTGTAAATCACTTATCAGTATGAGTAAAACAAACAAAAAAAAAAACTGCCTGTTTCTTAAAATGAGCATGAATTTGTTTATGTTTTGTATTCTTGTATTTTTTATTTCCCCAACTTTTATCTCTGATTTGGTTCAGTCCTACTCACTTTGTCAGTGAGATAGAATTAAAGTCTGGAGATGAAACATGAATAAAGCAAAATTTGGATCTTTGAAGGTTGGATCTGTGAATTAAACAGAGTTGAGCAGTGGTTCCCAAAGTTGGGTTCAGGACCCACAATGGGGTCCTGAAAGGTTTTCTGAATYACACTAAAAAATGACAACAATTTATTACCTTTGTTGTTACAAAAGAGTAAAGTTGGTGAACTTAAAATGGATAAAAAATAATGTTACTATTATCTGTTGTCTTTCAAAGCGACCAAAGTCTGAACACTCATGTTGCATTTCATCCGACTTTATCAGTGAGAGAAGAATATACATATCCATCGCAATGTTCAGAATAACTCCACATGTCTGCAGCTACAGAACAGAAGCCCAGTTGCTTCCTCTTTTTTCTTTTAATTTTCCATGTCTTAAATGACTGAGAATCAACAGAAACGTAACGTCTGTCTCAAACTGTATCAATCCAGAAGTTACTGGATTGATACTTTACTTCCAGCACGTTAACCAGAGGCAGGTTCAAACATAAACACTGAACTAAACATATGTAGGCCAATTATTTAAAATCTGCTCTGATTGCACAACAGCTTCAAAACTGACATGAAAAYATGTAGCATCCATGTTTACTTCTGTAAACAGATGATTGTGACATTACGTCTTTTTCTGCGCATGCGAGTCAAAACAGTTCTGTGGAGAGTTCACACTGGAGTCAGGTGGAGGTCACATTTRAAATGAAATGTGAACATTCACGCAAATAAATCAGATTTGATCATTAAGACCTGCAGTGTGCATGTAGCCTAAGATGCTCAATTTATATACGAGTTCATAAACATTTGAAGCCTCTTTGTGCTTTGAGCTTTTTACTGTGATAACAATTTTAATTTTAACAATTTTAGGCTGAAAATCATCTTAGCTTAAATCAGGCAAAGTCTGGCCCAAATATTAAAGATTTGTTGCCATATGAATCTAGTTTAGGATATCCAWTAGTTATGTGCTTACCTAATTAAATTTAACAAAACTTGAGATGCAGAACTTAAACTTGAGTCTGACTTTAGACTCTCCATTAATCCAAATAAGCTAAGCAGCCTCGCTCTGTCATTTTACATTATAGGACTGTGTACAGTATGTTTACAGCACAATCCTTAATTAAATCTGTACATCATCAATAAACACATCAATAAAGACAGGAGAAGAAAAAAAAAACATTGTATTTTAGTCACCATCACTTTCATGTTTAATTAAAAGTTATACAACAAGATAAATTGTATTTATGTTTTGTTATAACATTATTCCCATGTTTTCCTTTGTGGTGTTATTTTTTTATTTTTTTTTTTTTTTTGTAGTTCATATACAAACTGTAAAAAGAGCACACCTTCCTTACTGGGTGGATGTGCATAAGATCACAAGATTCGTAGCTCTCAGAATAAGTTTGTGTGACCTCGGTGTGTAGTGGTGTCCTGGTAGCTCACATCGCTGCAGGACTGGTGAGCAGATGTGAACAGACAAGAGCGACTGACCCATGAACGATTCTTCATCTCTCTGCTCCAGCAGTGGAAAACCTGAGAAGATCCACTGTGCTTCTTCRCAGGCTGCCTTTCTTTGATATCATGTCTTTGCTTTGTCCTTCACTCCTCCGTTGGTTTCCCTTTTTTCTTATTTCAGTTCCCCATGAATCGTGTAGTTTTTGTTTTTTCCCCTCCGTTCCTTCTCATCCTCGTGAATCTCAGTGTCTGCCCCCCCCCACACTTTTTTTTTCTTTTCTCACCTTTTCTCCTTTCACCTCTCCCTCCTTTTTTCTCACCCCTCATCCCTCCATCCATCCCCCAGTTTGGGCACAGTGCAGCTTTCTGCAGCGTTTTCTATTGTGCCGTGGCCCTCCCCAGATGAGTCCAAAGTAATTGGGGTGGTTAATTTATTTACTCAGAGGCAGTTCACAGCACATTAAATAATAGAGATAATTGAACAAGAATTGTCAAGTGTCTTCTGATATCAGACACATTACAGGAGGGAGTGTGCATAAAACTCCATTTCTATGCCCCCATTGTTTATGGTAATTAAGTACACAGATTTATTCCTTGGTTGCCTTCCAAGCTTATGGCAAGCAGCATTGTTGTCTTCTATTAATATGTAATCAGTAAATAGTTTAATTTTCTAATCTGCGGTTGGAGAATTCACTTTCTAACAACTCTTAATTACTGCTGGGCTCTAATGAGTCTCACCATGCCGCCACAGCCAGCCAATCACAGGCCAGTCCCGGGTCGGGGGGGAATTTGAATTCCGGTGATGCCCCCCCACCCCCACCCTTAACTAATGAACTTGTTATTCTTACACCTCTGGGAGCTCTGTCCTTCACACATGCAACGTTAGGGGAACGTTTCACCTCCTGCAACAAACTCAGTGTTTATAGACATGTGTTGATAATATGACAGAATTCATTATTAACTGGAGCGTTACTTCAAGGTTGTATTTATGGGTATTTTTAGTTGAATCTGTTTTAAAAATTCAAAATGATTTAAAACTGCAAGGAAGTTCTGTTTCGCTGCTGTTTGGATCTCGTTAGAGCTTGGAGTTGACATTTTTTAATCTATTATTAAAAGAAAACATTGACGATTCAGCTTGAGCCTTCAAGAAAGTCATTCAAATGCATCATGTAGCCTTTGCACAAAATCCTCTGGCCCCTGTTAAATATATCTCCAACACCCCCTACCTGGCCCCTGTACCTATTTACACACACCTCCTGTTTCAAATAGCTATATAACCAGCAACAATGGACGCAATTATCCAAATAATGCCACTTAGCTGCTCTGCAAAGCCGCCCCTCACCTACTGTGCATTTGATAAGAGATAAACAAGCAAAGAGAGAAGAGAATAGCTCCCTCAGATTAACATATGTTTAAAAATTGCACTCAAAAGCTGATAAGATTGACATGAGATTTTTTTTCTTATGGTTCCCCCTTTAATCTGCCTTTGTCTGCAAATCGACAAGAAGAAAATTATGCAATCCAGCAAAAGTTTCATTCACCTCAGTCACGCGGCGCATCACCCTCAGAATCTAGTCGAAGGGACCGAGCAAACTGTCAGTTTATAATGTGACTAGAAACATTTAAGCTCGGCTACACGAGTAGCATCAAGGCTCAGAAATACTCCTACACGTCAATCTCTGGCTTGTTTGCAGCACAAACAACATGCACAGCTCTGAGTATATTATCAGGAGCAGTTCTTTCACAATGGCGAAGAAGCTTAACATTAATTATTGTAACTTTGGGCAGATTACATCCACGCTCGTCTTGTAAGCGCCGGCAGACTCATCTTGACCTCCTATACGAGAGCTTAAAGACACAAGAATGGCATTTTACCAACTTTAATGGGATAACCAGTCTAATCTTTCAGCTCTGAGAGAAGAAGAAGTGTTTGGGACTATAATACCCTCCCCTGTTCACAGGCGAAAAGATGCAGCGAGGGGTTTGGGGAGGTTGGTTTTTCAGGTGCTGCTTTGTACGTTTTTGCGTTTCTACTGATGGGTTTGCTTTGGTTTGGAAAACAAAAAGCTTTAATCCAGAAATGACTTGAATGTTGTCGGGCTTCACTGATTTATTCTCTTCTAAAACAAGTGGGTTTTACTGGAGGTTTGGGATTTTTTGATTTTGTTTATTGGTAATCTTAGACCCAATTTGTAAGCAGAGAGAAAATGTGTTCCTTTATGAAGACCTCAGCCGTTTTCTTGTTGTCAGGGTTACAAAAAGAGCACTCGTTTTCAATCGAAGTGTTTTTCTATTAGACCACAGTGGAATGTGTTTGTGGTCGTCTTGGATTTTCTTCAGGAGCGAATGCACTGCTCTTCCCTATAGGGAAGAAAAGAAATCCAAGGATCWCTCCTTTAAAACCTTCTGCCTTTTTCTTGCCTTTGAGGTAAGAAAACAAAGGATTTAAGCTTTTTTTGTTTTGTTTGTGTGTGTGTGTGCATGTGTGTGACTTGAAGGTTCAGCTGGGTCAGAACACAGATTAACACCCTCCTGCGCGCACACACATACACACCCATTCCTGCTCACGTCCTTAACTTATTTTTGGTCATTTGAATATTTGAGCAGCACAACAGTTTTATTTGTCGACTTCCATGGATGCTGCACAAGCGAGCGATGAAGATTGGCGTATCCCCCCCACGCCAAGTCCAGCACGGCTACGTGACCCTCACTTCTCGATGTGCACCCCCCCTACGCACACACACCTCCCTTTTCTTTTCTTTTTTTCCCCTGCTCGGTGTCAGCCTTTCATACATTCTTTAACAGTAGGGATGAAAGGCGGATTTTTAGGAAGATTAGGGAACGGGATCCTCTAGGCATTGTCTGAGAATCTTCAGATAAAACGAGCGGGGTGGATGGAGTCAACGGGAGGGAGGGGTGGGGGGCCGAGTTTTTAGGGCAGAGGGAAAGGGGGAGCGTGGTAACCACATGCCACAACGTAGACCTGCAAGYTAAATATGTTTCTAAAGTGGGGTATTTTTTCATTTTCCCACAATGTTATCTGAATTTTTCTGTTCTAGTTGTCTCTTTCTTTCTTTGATTACTCACTCCTTGCTTTGTTTCTCTTTCACACTTTTTAATCTTACTGAAAAACCTTTCAGAGTTGCACTTACGGAGCCAGGCACCCCATCTTTCTTTAGCGATGGTTCCGATTAACATTTTCAGCCGAGGGGTGAGTAAATGTGAAGAGAAAAGAGGGGGGTGGGGGTGGGCTGCTAGAGAGAAGTGGACAATGGCCGCTTATGATAATCTTCTCTTTATTGGAGCATCCCGCCAACGCTTTCATCAGCCGCCGCTCTGCTCAAGACCCCATGCAGCAGCCGGTCCAAACCGCGCTACAGGCTGCCAAACACCTCGTCACTGAGAGGCAGCTGCAGAAAACACACATGCATGATCAACACAACCAGACATGTTTTTCCTTTTTAGATAAGTCATTCACATGAACTTATTCTTTATTACTTTGATCAACATATATAT